TTGGGAGTCTCTTTGAGCACCTCTCTGAAATCAATTTCTAGTCTGAACGGTAAATCTTCATCTCTCTCCAGAAAGAGTAAATGAGAAGAAAAGAAGATAAAGTTAGTGTACTAAGGGATGTCCAGTCACCTTTGAAAGGGAACAGTCGGGAATAACTACTTTTCAATAGCTTTGCTAATAACAAATGGTCTTGGAGCAGTGTGATTTCCTAGAGTTGTTCTGTCCATCTTCACTTAAGTAATTTTTTTTTCATTTTACCAAAGCTGCATTTTATTTTTATTTTCCATCAGTGTTCTTGGTTTCATGCTGTATCTTTGTCTTCTTGAGATTTCTGACTGTGAGATAATTTCTTGGCTTCATGAGGTTATGAGTCCAGTCATTTCCTTCTCTGTCAATTAATTTGTTCAAACTTGTGAGAAATAATGGTCTCCTTACAAAATGACTTTTGTGTATGACTAGGCAAAATCTCAAGTCCTTTGATAGGTATTTTGTTCCACAGGCTTTTATTTCTTGGAGTAGGATTTTAAATCTCCTAAGACAGTTTATGCTCTCCTCGTGAGTGAGTGGAGTTAGAAACTGGCTGCATAGTTCACATCTGTTATGTCTGTCTATGTTGTTAGATCTATATGGCTAGCAGACTTGAACTATCAAGAAACTATTTCAACATTTAAAAACTTTAAATCAGTAGTAGCAGTGATGTAAGCAAGCAAATTTGCGACATGTGAAGCAGAGATAGTCTCCCATGTATCACTTCTTTAATTAGGGATGTAAAGAAAAATCTCAATTAAAAGTGACACTTAGGAACTGAGTTCACAGAAATAAAATAGGACCTTCTATTGGATGAGAAATTTTAGTATATTCCTCTGAATAGAAATATCTACATGGCAGGACAGAATTCTGAGGCTTTTAATTTGATATTTTGAGGCATTCCACAAATCTGAAGATCATTTCTGCGAACACTATTCTATTAGAGGGAAGTAAAAAGACGAATAAGGCAGCTGAATTCAAAGACAGATGTTGACATTTAAACAATGCAGTGTTTTCTCAATTCAGAATTTCACTTATTCATTTATCATGCAATGCTCCCTTTAATGCTTTTTGTCATCTGAAACTAATTAGCATCTACACCCATAGGAAAAAAGACACCTCAGACTGCTTACGGTCTGAAGAGTGCTATCCCTGTTCACTCTCTCTTATTTCACAATGTGTGCTGATGGCTCCAAATTGACTTCACAGTGAAAAAGTCCAATCTGATGTTTATATTTGAAGTACATAAAAACTAAAAGACAATGGCTTTTCTTTTAGAGTGTGTGAATAAATAGTGGATTAATATATAAAGTTATAAATACAAATGTGATCACTGAAACTAAAATGAAAAACATCCATTTGTTAAAACACACACACACACACACACACACACACACACACACATTATAGAGAAATGTCTACAATTTGAAGAAGATGAAAATTTTGGCACAAATCTGGAATTTAGGAAAAAGGAATCAAAAAATTACAAAACTGAATGCAAAAAATTAAAGTTGAGAGTATCATGGTTTTAATAGCTACAATTAGACACAGGTAAGAAAAAAAAATGGAAAATCAAAGGGTAGACCCAAAGAATCAAAGAGAGAGAGAGAGAGAGAGAGAGAGAGAGAGAGAGAAACAGAGACACACACACACACACACACACACACACACACACACACACACACAGAGGCCTGAAGTCCTACCTTCGAGCAGCAACTGAAATGTCTTCAAAACTCCATCATTAAGAAGTTCCCAGAGATAACTGAAATTATGGGATTAAAAAGTAGACTCTGCCTTTTGTTGGAATGAGTGGAAAAATCACAAATCAAATGATGTAAGAAGTTATGTGTTTTCATAATAAGAATATGGAATAACGTTTCATGAGTCCATATAATTAAATTACATACAGTGATATAAATAAATGAGTTTATTCAAGTGTTGTTAGAAAGCGAATTTGTGAGATAAATGCTTCTGGATTCAACAAAGTAAATATGCATGTATTTGTAAGCAATTATAGTCATAACAAGAAAGAATAAATCACATAAACTTCTTTGTGCATAGACTATCTTTTAAAACACTTGCAAGGATGGAGGAAGCATGATTGTATTTTAAAAGATTAACTGGATTGTAGATTAAGGAATTATGACTATATTGTTCTATAGTGTTTGACTAACTCAGTATAAGTCAAAACATTTAAAATAGATTGGTAGAAAATTCTTTGATGGAGAACAATCTGATAATTGAAGTCATTGAATATTTAAACAATGAACTAGACATTTTTATAGGAAGAAAAACTTTATATAAATAATTAGACATGTCGAAAAGTGAATTTAGAATCAAAATAAGACGTTTTCATATAAGAAGGCAAAGACCTCCCTGACATTCAGGGGAACAGAACAATAGGGAGCAAAGAAGCCTGGAGAAATATTTTTCATCAATTGAACACTGTGGCACTGACAGCTCCTAATCATGGAACTTGGGTAAATATCTATCCAAGCAGGGATTCTCCAGAGAGATCCTTACCAGTCATGCAAATTTTTGACTTTTCTGAGATGCTTGGCATTCCCTTCAGCAATCCAGTCCATGGCCATTTCACAAAGCTTGATGGTGGTACACATCTTGGACACAAAACCACAAACCACTTCAGAGAGCGGCCAAAATTCAGGAAGAATACAGGAACTTAGGATCTTGGTAGGTGTTGCCCATCTGCAAGGCAAGCAGCAGTCCATTCA